CGCCCAGGCCCCGCCCCTGCCCCTGCCCCGCTAGGGCCCAGCGAGAATTCTCCGCGGACCGGAGCCTGCGCGGAGCCGCCTCACCCGGCAGTGGTAGCGATGTAAGGAGCAGAGTCCCACGGGTTCCTCTGCCTTTCCCTCCCGACCGTCCCTTTCTGATGCCCCAGTTGTCATTGCCTCAGCCCTCGTCGCCCTCTAATTCGCGAGCCGGGTCGAGGCAGGTGGATGCAGGGACGCAAGGGGACCTCCAGTCCAGCCGACTTTAGGCACCTACACGAGAGAGCTTTTTTGTTTTCTTTTTCTGCTTTTAATTGAAGGAAATTCACCCAACATGAAGTTAACCATTGTAAGGTGAAAATTTGGTGGCGTTTAGTACATTTACAACGTTTCGCAAATACCAACGATATCTAGTGCGGAAACTTCTATCGCCTTGAAAGGAAACCCCAGCCCGGTTTAGCAGTTGCTCACATTCTCCCCTTTCCCAGCCCCTAGCAACCACTAGTCGGCTTTGTCTCTGTGGATTTACCTACCATGCACATTTCATATCGTGGAATCATACTTGTGATCTTTTGTATCTGGCCTCTTCTACTTAGTGTAATATCTTTGAAGTTCTTCAGCTTGTAGCATATATTAGGACTTCAGTCCTTATGGCTGAATAATATTACATTGTATAAAACACATTGTTTATCCATTCATTTGTTGATGGACATTTGATTATTTCTACCTATTGGCTACTGTGAATAGTGCTGCTATGAACACAAACATGTATTTGTTTGAGTACTTCTTTTCTTTTCTTTTGGATATATACCTAGGAGTGAAATTGCTGGGTCAAATTGCATGTGCCCTTGACTGGAATCGAACCCAGGACCAGTCCGCAGGCCGGTGCTCTATCCACTGAGCCAAACCAGCTAGGGTTTGCTCAGATTTTTTAATTATTATCCAAAGGAAGGTTAGTCCACCATTTCCAAAAACTAGAACCTCATTATATTCTTCTGCCTACTTATATATCTGCAATTTTCCATAATTTTAAACAGAAGAATGAGGGGAAAATGGTTGTATGCATGTCTTAATTTTTCTCATCTCATTAATCTGAAGGCTGAAAATTAGTTTCCTTCTCTTGACATGGCAGTTTAAAAAATAAAATTAATAAAAAGGAAAGTTGTCAAAACGTTTGATGTGGGGGGTGGGGGGAGAACCACAACCTCAGCTGCTAGGAAGGAAGGAAACCTGTTATAGGTTTGTTCCACCACATGCAGTTCCTGAGAGTCACCAGCAGGGGGAAAACGTTCTGTTTCCGATGGGTCCCAGCGCATCGCCGCGAATTCCTTAACCCAAGGAAAGAAGGCGAGAGCGCCGGGTACATCTCATTCGGTGCACGGAGGGAACTGGCCTAGAGGGGTCACTCGGACCGCAAAGACCTCGCGAACCGAGTCTACCTATTCCCAGAGGCCGTCCCTTTCGAGGCACACGGGTAACTTGGCTGGAACTCCCAGCTGACCTCTCAGCCCCACACTCAGGACTGCAGCAGCTCAGAGCCGCCTCCAAAGCGGCCCCAGCGGCGCAGGCAGGAGAGGCAAACCCTCGTCCGGTTCCAGGTGAGCCCGTGCCCGAGTGCGAGCGGGATCCAGGTGAGCGTGCGCCCGAGTCCGCGAGTGACCAGGTGAGCCCGCGTCCGGGTCCGGAACGGAACCAGGGGAGCCCGCGGCCAGCCACTCTAGCATCTTGGTGGGAGTCGGGTCGCAGGACTCGAGCAGTCAGTGGGCAAAATGGGTTGAAGCCGAGAACGAAGCCCGCTGGTGGTTCAGGACACGGGCCTGGGCACAGCTGTGTGTTCGGGGGGGGGGGGGGGAAGGGGGGCAGGAGATCAGAAAGGACCTCCTCCCACCAAGTGCGCTCATAGGATCACCCTTCAAAATGAGCCCTGCTAATGAGGTGCTGTGTGCGGGAGGGCGGGAGAATGGTTATTTCATTAATAAGTGCTGGACATGCGTCACTTTCTGGAGCACCTTGGCTACACCGTGTATTTGGAACCGGAGGCAGAGCCTGGGTCTGTGCCCCTGAGGTTTTGAATGACTCCGTGGGTAAATGACAAGCGACAGACGGGAAGAAATACCACCACTTCGGGGGATATTTTAAGATTGAAAGTCAGTGGATACTGAAGCAGTGAGAGAGACTGGAAAAGGAAAGCAAGAACAGGGAGATAAGAAGAAAAGATACAGGAAGTCTAAGAAACCGAGTGGACACAGAGCCCGGTGGACCCCACAGCTCGGTGGGGCGCACAGGTTAGGGGCAGAGCGCTGTCCGGATGGACATCTCTGAGGAGGGGGGCTGGGGGGAGGAGCCTGACCCCGAACAGATCATTGGAATCCGAGGAGGCCATTGGTTAAGAATCCATTGGTTATCGCTCGAATTTTAAGGTTAGGAATAAAAACGTATGCAACGGGTAGGCAACAAGTTTTCTTTTGACAAATGATCAAGTAAGATATACACATTTAATTGGATTAGGAGAGAAGTTGTAAGGAGTTCGTGATTTTCTATACCCTCGTGAACATTCACAGATCTCTAGAAAAGCGTTTACTGTAAATAATTAGACTTTGAAATTGGAAGTGTTGCAAAACAGCACAATTATTACCCTGTCTTAATAATACTGTATATAGCCCTGGCTGGTTTGGCTCAGTGGATAGAGCATCGGCCTGCGGACCAAAGGGTCCCGGGTTCGATTCCGGTCAAAGGCATGTACCTTGGTTGCTGGCACATCCCCAGTAGGGGGTGTGCAGGAGGCAGCTGATCGATGTTTCTAACTCTCTATTCCTCTCCCTTCCTCTCTGTAAAAAATATATTTTAAAAAAATAATACTGTATATAGCATCAGTAGTATGTCAATTATACAGGGGTGGGCAAAGGGGAACTAGTCTGCAACCAAGGTGGGTGTCCTTGACCAGAATTGAGCCAGGAACCCTTTGGTCCACAAGCCGATGTTCTATCCATTGAGCTAAACTGTCTAGGGCCCTATTCTTGTGTTTTAAAACTTGCCTATTTACTTGGTGTTTTTAAACTTTGGAATGGGGAGGAAAAGACAGGCTACATGTCCATGAATCAGACATGGCAATAAAGCCTCAAGTATTGGAGAGGGATCCTTAACTGAATGGGAAATAAGAAACTGAGGGGGAAGATATGGTGACCCCACTTGCACTGTGTGTACTATTTCTTCCTAAATGGCGGGGGGTTCGGAATAGGCAGTCAAGCTTAGTTTTGGCTAACATAAATTAAAAGCATTTTTCTCAGTAAGTGTTTATATGGAAGTATTAAGTAGCCTCTTAATACTTTCTCTTAAGGCCCCAGGGACTGACTCCTAGCATCTTAAAGGCAAAGTACTTGTCACTAAACCTTTTACCTTAAATCTTGCTTTAGTATATTTTATATGGCTCTAAGAGAACTTACCAATTAATCAGGATATGTGCTATTAGTTATATTTTTAAAAAACAGGAAATGTCACATTGTAGGCTATGGGATTCCTTCTGTTAGTTGTTCACATTTGAGCCTGTGGACACTGGGAAAACCAACTGATCGTTTTATGTCAGATAGAGGTTCATGGTTTTGTTTGTGTGTGTTTTAATATAAACACTCTGGAAGCAGGCAGTCCCCTGGCTGGTGTAGCAGCTACTCTATCTCCCCAGGAACCTAATTTTTCTCTTTCTTTCTGCTATTCTTGTAACTGGAACTAAGGTTTGGCTGCCTGCTGCCATGAAAGCCAAACTTGTGAGACAAGTGCTGGTGCAAAAAGAAGGAGGTTTATTCAAGTGTCAGCATCTCAAGAAGATGAGGGACTCTTGTCCAAAGCCCATCTCACCATCTCAGTCAGGCAGAGGGAAAGCGAACAAAGAAATCAAGGGGAGGGGTTGAAAAGTTCTCTACGTGCAGGTCAGCACAGTACATCCATCCGAAGAAGGACCTTGAAACGGGGCAAATGATGTGCGGCATCCTGGTCTTCATTATCCTGGTTCTATGTCATCCTGGTTCTACAGTTGGAACTGGGATGACTGAAGATTAGAGTCCGTACCTTCTGAAGCTTGTTCCTAAAATTTTTATACAAACATGCTGTTTATCTACAAGCTGCATATTAGTCAGAGTCAGCATGTACAGAAACAAACCATGTGAAGAGAGGCCTGGCCAACCTTCAGCTATTCCAGTGGCCCCACTGAGGTGTCAGTCATGTGCATGAAGCCACCTTGGATGGACCTGCTCCAACTGAGCGCCAGTTGACACAATGTGGAACAGAAGAACTAAGCCCTGCAAAATTATAGATTTATCAGAAATAAATCACTGCTAAATTGTGCTGAAACACAATCAGTTGGCCCCCCTCCTCCAAAATGCCAAGATAGCCAAGAAGTGAGGTTCATTGGTTGGGCCTTTGGCCTCACTGGACATGGTAGAAGTCTGCTACCCGAGAGGAAGAGGATGGTTATCTCAGGGGGCAGGGGGGTATCAGCTGTCCTTAGTCACCCGTCTCCTGAGCTTGGAGCAGGAAAGTCATCTCTAGGACCTCGGGAACAAGGTCATATGGGGTCATTACTCTTGCCCTTTGGCATTACAGTAGGTCCTCAGGTTACATCGAAGATCTGTTCCTATGGCGCCAGGTAACGTGATTTTTGCCCTA